AGATTCCATAAGCTGGCAGGCTGCCCAGTGGGGAGATGGGGTCAGAGGCCTGGGGAGTGGGGAAGGGGCCCATCTCTGAGTCTGTTTCTCCTCCCTGACCCATTTCCTGGTTCCTGTAGGCCAACGCCCTCCCCAACCCTCATCACGACCAGAGAGGGTCTAGGAGGCAGCTCCTGGCAGCAGCCCCAGTCACCACAGATAGAGTCACACAGTTCCATCCATTTTTCTGTCCCAGCCCCCACAGGGCCCTCTGTGGTCAGGTCTTTGTGTCTGCACAGTGGCCCTCTTTGTCCTGAGCAGCCTGTCCCCATCCCACCTCCCTCCTGCCCTTCTCTCTCTCCTGTCTGGATCACAAAAAGCACCAGCTTCGCAAAGAGCCAGGACAGAACTCTGATCTTGGCTTCCCCCACTGAGTCTCTGTGTGACCCTGAGCAAGTTATTTTGCTTCATGAATTTTTAGTTTTTTGGTTCTGTGAAAAAGAGCTGTTGTAAGCAATCAATGCCCTGGCAAGGAGTTTGGTCTGCCACCCATTGCTGAGACCCAGATGACAAATCATGAACTCGGAGACCCTTACCTGATCCTCATGCTGTTCACTGGACCTCCTACCACCAGCTCCCACCTCATTTTCATCCTCACTCTTTTGGCCAGTGGCTACCATTCTCCCACTTGACAGATGAGGAAACCAAGGCCTGAGGAGAGGGCTGACTTCGTGTCATGTGATCTGGACAGTGAGGGCCATGATTTGAAGCATTAAATACTCTGCCATCACCATCTTGAAATTCTTAACTTTTTCTTATTTTTTCATTCTTTTGTTGGAAATTCTTAATTTTTGAATGAGAGACCCAGATTTTCATTTTGCCTTGGGTCCTGCAGATTAAGTAGCTGGTCTAGCTGGTCTTGCTTGAAGGGAAATGAACAGAGGCATGCCCAGGCCTGGACTAAACTTCCTGCATCCTAGGCGGCCTCATTTGGGTGCCTGCATCCTGGCATGCCGAAAGCCAGAGTTTCCAGGCTGCATTTGGCATCAGAGCCCTGGACCCTACCCAGGAAACCTGAGGAGCACAGTTCCCGGCTGGCAAGGGAAGGGAGGATGGTGCAGGCCAATGCAGCAGTTCAGGGAGCAAGGAAGACAAGGCTGCTAGAGCCGGCCCAGCCCTGTGTAACTGGAGCTGCCAGTGTGGGTCCCAATGCCATGGCCCAGCCATTAACTCTGGGAACTCAGCAGGGCCTTCCATCCCATCAGGCTGCAGTTCCGGGGCCAGGAGAACCACTGCAGATTCACTGTGTGGCTTTCGACATTCACTTCCCCTTTCTGAACCTCAGTTTCTCTACATGTCACATGAGATAAAATAATGCCTATCTCACAAGGTTCTGGAGAAGATTAAGTGAGGTACCTTAAACTTAATGACTAGCACAAAGAAGGTGACCACTAAATAGAGTTCTTATTCATTCACTCATAAGAAATATGTTGTGACAAGTATTCAGGGACAGGGGTCAGGTGCGGTGGCTCACACCTGTAATCCCAGCACTTTGGGAGGCCAAGACAGGCAGATTGCTTGAGGCCAGGAGTTCAAGACCAGCCTGGCCAACATGGTGAAACCCTGTCTCTACTGAAAATACAAAAATTAGCGGGGTGTGGTGGTGCACACTTGTAATCCCAGCTACTTGAGAGGCTGAGGCAGGAGAATTACTTGAACCCAGGAGGCAGAGGTTGCAGTGAGCTGAGATCATGCCACTGCACTCCAGCATGGGTGACAGAGCAGGACTCCATCTCAAGAAAAAAAAAATTCAGAGGCAGTGCTAGGTGCTGGTCATTTAATTGTGAACAGAATGGACCCTGGCTCTGCTCTCAGAGAGATCCCTGTTAGAAGGAGAGACAGGCAGTGATAGCGATAACAGCAAGGTAGGTGGTGGGGCACCTAGCCTGGGTCTTTGAGGAGCCATGGTGGGGAGCCAGGAGCAAGGGCACTGGGGTGCAGAGGGAGGGGTAAGCGGCAACAGGAGGCTGGTCAGAAGTGAGAGGTGAGGCAGAGAGACAGGGAGGCTGGAGTGGCAGGCTGGAGAGCTAGGCTTTATCCAGTGGATGGTAGAGCCACCAGAGAGTGTAAGGCAGGGTATGGCATCAAGGGGCAACAGAGACACCACTGTAGCCTGGGAAGGGGGGACTGGAGCTTGGGCCAGGGCAGGGGCTCCATCCCCAGCATGCATTTTCAGAGCAAGTTTTCCCAGGGGCGATGAGAGGAGGAGGATGAAAAGGCCTGAATTAGCCAAATACCTTCTCAGGGCTGGAGAGACAGGAAGCCTCCTAATACATGGGAGAAGCCGAGGCTGGAACTTTGCCCTTCCCCTCCTGACCTGCCACTGCTAATGGAACCCTCCTCCTGCCCCCATGGCTCCATTACCCACCTCCAGGGGACCATTACTGTGCCTGGGCCTTTACCATTAGCTGGCCTTGGCTGCTTGGTTCCAGGGAGACTCCCTCGATGCTATTCCAGCCTTTCAGATGAGCCTGTTGTGTGATGCTGGCTGTATCTCAATTTCCGGTTTGATCAATGGTTTTACATTATTTCAGCCACAAAATCTTCTATGTGTTTACAACAAATTCTTGCCAAGAAATATAAATAAATAAAAATACAAAAGCAAAGGTGTTCAAGTTGAAGTGGGATGGGGGTTCCCCAGGCAGCCCCAGGTAAGCGGGACTCTGTTGGGAGATTCGAAGCCTGCAGGACTTGATGACCTCTAAAACCCAGCGATGGGAGTGCCTGGGGAGGACGTCAGGAGACGAGACTTCTAGCCCCTCATTACATGGGATACTAACCCCTTGAGCCCAGACAGCTTGGGATGATGAATAAAACCATGAAAAAAAAGAATTTAAGGATAGGGTGCTGGGGCTCATGCCTATAATTCCAGCACTTTGGGAGGCCAAGGCAGGAGGATTGCTTGGACCCAGGAGTTTGAGACCAGCCTGGTCAACACAGGGAGACCCCATCTCTACAAAAAAATTTAAAAATTAGTCCGGCATGGTGGCATGTGCCTGTAGTCTCAGCTACTTGGGAGGCTGAGGTAGGAGGATCCCTTGGGCCTGGGAGGTAGAGACTGTAGTGTGCTGTGATCATGCCACTGCACTCTGGTCTGGGTGACAGAGCAAGGCCCTTTCTCAAAAAACTTAAGACAGGCCAGCAAGTGAGATATTAGTATTACTCCCTTTTGCAAAAGAGGAAACTCAGGCTCAGAGATGAGTCATGGGACAGGTGAGGCAAGACTGGAATCTAAACCCAAGGCTATGGGGTTCAAGGACTAGACCCCTTCCTCTGCTCCTAAGACCTCACTAAGCCACCTGTGTGGTAGCTGAAATGCCATATGTCTCAGGGATGCAGTTTCCTCAGCTGTAAAGTAAGGGAATTGGGCCAGAGCAGGGGCAGAGCCCTAGGCAGGCCACCAACCAGATTTGCCTGCTGAAGGCGAAGGTCGAGGCTGGGTCCTCAACTTTGCGTCAAAGAAACTCGTTTCTCCTGGGCTAAATGGGCATGACAGTATAAGGTTTGAAGTTCTGGAAGAGGGGAGAGAAAGAAGGGGTTGGCTGGAGTTCCAGTGCCTAAAGGGTCTTCCCCATACTGGAACCTGAAGGCCTAGGCCCTATAGCTTGGGCTATGAGGATACTTAGGTCCCTGGAAGGTGCCCGGCCCAGCTGAGACAATAGGCAGAGGAGGCTGGACAAGGGGCCTTTGTGTCTCCCAAGCAAAGGTCCCAGCGGGACTGCAGAGGCGGCTCTGCCCCTCTGGGCTGCGTGTCCACTCTGTTCCTGCTCCCGGTGCGGCTGCAGCCAGCACCCTTCATGGCAGCCAGGCCCAGTCAGCTGATATGGATCCCAAGAGGGCCCAAGGCCCCAAGGGCCCTGGGCAAGTTCCTTGGCTACAGGAAGAGGCCTCCTCTGTACTTGTCCAGCCACCCGAGTGATTTACTCCACTTCACAGGAAAGGAGACCCTGAGAGAGAATGGAACTGGGTCAAGGTCTCCCAGAGTCGGTGCTGAAGCTGGGTAGGAACCTACATTCCTGATTCCTAGACCAGAAATGATGGGGGGGGGGGGGGGGGCGCTCATTCGTTCATCCATTCACACCTTCAAGGATTGAGCACCTGGGACAGCAGCAGGAAGAAGGTAGACCTGGTTCCCGCCCTCGGGAGCTCACAGTCTCCGAACGGGTCAGACACGCAGCCCGACCAGGGAAGGCCATTAGAGTGGGGTGGACGTGGACGGCAGAGAAGAGAGTTAAAGCAGCTCAAGATAACGGGCCAGAGAGTGGGGAGTTCAGGGAGCTGCTGGTAAGATTAAGGCAGGGAAAGTGGGGAGCACGGAAGAGGTGGGATCCTGAGTACCCTGCTTTCCTTCCCAGGGTAATGAGGAGAGGCATCCCCTACCCCCACTTTCAAGCAAGGGAGGTGCGTCCTCGGCCTGGGGTTTCGAGCAGGTCTCTCCGAGCAGGTCCCTTCCTGGCCAGCCGGGCTGGGGCGGGGCGGAACAGGGGTAGGGTGGCGCGGCGGCTGGGCGCAAAGGTCCAGCAGTGGGCCACGCAGGCGCCGGGCTGACCTGGCAAAACTTGGGCGTCTCTGAAAACCTCTGCTCACCCGCTCCCTTCTAGCGTGAGGGAGCCGGGCGGCCTCCTTCTGGCCCGGCAGTGGGACCGTCGCCGCCCGCCCCTCCCATTGCAGCACCGGTACAGACGCGCTGACCCCGCGGCCGTGTCGCTGGGCGGCGTCCCGGAGCGGGTGGCGAGGTATCTACCCGGGCGGGTTGAAGGCGGTGCCAGGGTTGGTCAAAGGTCCGCCCCGCCCCCTGCCTGGCCCGGCTTCGGGGGTGGGGAACAGCGCAGGGAGGTGGGTAGCTGGGCTCCCAGGCACGTGGGTCTCTGCGGCGGCGGCTGGACGCAGGCACTGGCACCCGGGAGCCGCGGCGACGGCACGCCGGGCGGAGAAGCGCAGCGCAGGGGCGAGAGGTGCGGTGCCTGGAGGGAACAGGGCGCTTGCAAAAGGCCGGGGGAAGCGGCAGGCGCTGGCGCAGGTGCCGACTGGGCGCGGGGCAGGGGAGGGCGCTGTGGAGCAGCTGTCGCCCCGAGGCACCGTTGCGAGCCGGCGTGTAGCGCATAACTGGGCGGCTTGAACGCGCCTGTGGGTCCGTGGTTGAACTTTGTCTCCACGGGAGCGTCGGTCTCGGTGAGTGTAGATGGACGCCCCGTTGCGAGGAGACTGTGCGCGAAGTCTGCGTGTTGGCGGGTGAGTGTGTGCGCCCCTCGGGGCGACTGGCTCAGCCTGCGGAACTTGTCTGTGTGTGCTCGGATGTGAGCGTCCCCGTGGCATGGGGCGGTGGGCGGTGCCCAGAGACATGAACCCCTGAAGATCCCCTGCCCCCTGTCCTGCCCCCAGGGTCACTCTGGGTGGCCGCCTACCATTGGTAAGGTTGAGGGGGCAGTTGCAGGGAGTGGGCGGGGGAGGAGGGAGTAGGGAGGAAGGACAGTAAAGCCTCTGTCTCAGGACTTTAAATCTGGCAAATGCCGTGGTAGGAAGGGTCAGTCAGGAGAAAGGCGATACCCCACCCTGCAACCCGAAGGCTGCCAGTGGCCCTCTTGGGGTCCTCCAGGAGTGCAGCCCAAGGGTCAGGGACTGCTGGAGACGAGCACTGCCAGCTCGGGATCTGTGGGGTCCATGGCTGCTGTTCCTTTCAGCATGGCATCGCCAGCTTCCCCGGGACCACAGCCTGATCTGCCTGGTTTGTTTTCGATCTAGGCTGAAATAATGATGAGTTTTGAGGATCCGGATGAGGACCCAGGCAAGTTTATTACCTGCTGGTGGAAGTGGGAGGAAGAAGATTCTCTGCGCAGACAGGTCCACAAGAGAGCTCTGGAGACTCAGAGATCTATGTTCCAATCCTGTCTTGGCCACTGTGTGGTCTGAGCAAGCCGTCCTTTCTCTGAGCCTCGGTGGCCTCGTCTGTAAGAAGGGACTAATGATACGGGATTTGAGGGCTGTTGAGGAGCTGATGAGTGTGTCATGTTCAGTACCAGTGTCCCCCCATGGGCAGGCTCACAGCTTGGGGATGGGAAGTCAGTCCCTGGAGGGAGCCTGCCAAAACCAGAATCCCACATGTGCCCCTCCCTAGGGCACAAGCCTTCCACAGGACCAAGCCTGAGCCCTGTAGCCTGGGACTTAAGGTCTCTGATAACTGGGGCCTGCCGGCCTTTCCAGCCACCTCTCGCGCCTGATTCTTCACCACGCAGCAGCTGTCTGGAGTCTCTCATTTCTTGCCTCGGGCCTGTTGCATATTCTACACTCCCTGCCTGATAAGCCTCCTACTCGCACCTTCCTCAGCTGGAGAACTACCCAGACTTGGGACCCAGCTCAGATGGCCCCTCCTCTGGAAAGCTTTCCTTGATCCCCACAGCAGGGTTGGAGCCTCTTCTAGGCCCCTACAGTCCTGGTGCTGACAGCCCTGGTCCCACCTGGACCGTCATGATCTATGTCTGTCTCCTCCTTTCCTCTTCTCAGGTCTAGGGGGTCCTGGAGGGCAGAAACTAGGTCTGACTCATTTCTGTGTTGCCAGCATCCTGCACAGGGCTGAGCTGAACTGAGAGGGCAGCAGCAGCCCCCATCCCCTGTTTCTGGCCCCAGCTTCTCCAGTAAAGGCCTGGCTGCAGGTGAGCTCCATGTCACTACAAAGAAGGGCAAACCAGAATATGGTTATCAAAGTGGGTGGCACAGTTTGCCAGAACAGTGTGATCTGGGACACTGCAGGACCTAGAGTGCCCAGGCTAAAGACCTGGATTCTATCCTGAAGGCAATAAGGAGCCATGGAAATTTATGAGCAGAGGAGTTTCATGGTCAGGTGGCATTTCAGAAAGAGCTCTCTGGCTGCAGGATGGAGAATGGATCAAGTAGTGCCAAGTGCAGGAAGGTCAGGGCATTTGTGATGTCAACACTAGAACTGTCCCAGGAGTTGTTTAAACCCTAATTGAGTCCTTGCCGGTTGGCCAGACACTTTTCCCTGAGCCTTCAGATGCTCCTGCTGAGGAATCTGGGGACCTGCAATTGATCTCATTCCAGCTCTGCTCCCAGCTTGTTGGATGACCGGTTCCTGCCCTGCTAGGCTCTAAAAGGAGGCCAGAACAAGTAAGATCCTGCGTGGGAGACTATGTGTGTGGGGAGGCCCTGGCACAAAAGGATTGTCACTCTCTCCTTTTCTCCCTGTCTTGGGCTTTCTTGGAGTCTGGTCAGAGGGGTTAGGTATCCCCGTGGGTAACCCTCAGAAATGACTACCAAACTTGGGCTGTGTAGTGAGGCTGTGGCTCCTCTGCTTCTGTCTCCCTCCTGCCCTGGATGCATAAGGCTCTAAGAAGGTGTGAGGGTATCACCAGGGCCTCATGAGTGACCCCATGAGAGCTTTGACTTAATGGCTATAGTCTTTAGAGAGGCCATTGTCCCTCTCTAGGTGTCAGTTCTGCCATCTGTAAATTGAGAATGGTGATCCTTGCTTCTTTGAGGGCAAAGTTGCTACGAGGATTAAGATAGTGACCGGGGAAGAGCTTTATAAGCCTTCAACTGCAGTGCTTGGAGAAGGAATGTGATACTCATAGACTGAAATTCATTTTGAAGACTGTAAGAGAACATGGGCGCAATAGCAAGGGGTTGTGCTGGTTAGTGAAATTTAATTACTGAATGCCTTCCTCCCCTACCCGCTCTGCAGAGATGGCTTCACTAGTAATGATTTACAACAATCCATTTTGTCTTCCTGTAGACCTGTGAGGCAGGAATTGAATCTCCATTTTGCAGATCAGGAAATAGAGGCATGGATTGTATCTTGCCCAGGGTCATCAAGCTGAGGTGAAACCTGGGGCTCCAGTCCACGTGCCAGCTTAGCCCTCCCCATCTGAGACAGAGCCCTGTGGGGTCGGGCCTGGTCCTCTGGCTTCCAGGCTGAGAGGAGTTTGAATTCTGCCCTGGGAACCTGTGTTTGGGGCTTTCCTGTGGCCAGATTATCCAACTGCTGATAAGATAACGCCTGCCCAGACCTGCCCACAGGACCAGAGATGCCTTGTCAATCTGGTGAGGGGAGTGGGGGTTGCCCCTCAAGCCTTCTGCCCAAACTGCCTCTCCCCAGACTGCTTCGTGTAGGCCTGCTTGGTATACCCTCTGGGCCACACCTTCCTCTTGGTTGCCCTTGGGTCCTCAGGCCTGTCCTGTCCTTATTACTGGGCCCTGATAGGAGTAGGCTGGCTGTGTGGGCCACTGTGACCTCTGTACTCATCCAGAGGCCAGTTGTAGGACTATGCTCAGCCATCCCTGCTTTCTCTCTCTGTCCCCAACACCCAGGTTGGGCTCAGGGCAGGTGCCAGTGGGTATGTGGGAAATGAGTGGCGAGGTGGGAGTAGGCATGGAGTAGAAGGGGGGCTTTTCTCCATGGAGCGCCACAGTTGGTTCTGGAGCAGAGGAGTTCCTCCACCCCCATCACTCCATCTCTTAGGCCTGAGTCATTCCTGGTCCAAGATGAGTAGCAGGAGTTTCTGGTAGGAGGGTGAGCAGCCTGGGCCCCGAGGAACAACTCCTTAGCCCTCTGCCCTGGTACCTTGTCCCTCTCATTTTAGCTCCTGGGTGAGAGGCCTGGGTGCTGGAGTGAGGGAAAGGGACCTCCCTCAGGCTTCTGGAGCTCACGTGGCCTTTCCCTCCCCAGGTCTGAGGAGAGCCTCTGGGTGTGGACCTGGCTTCCTGGTGAATGCCCCAGCCCTGGCTTGTAGGAGGGGGACTCTTGCCATGGCTGGGCTGTCGCAGGAAATCTAGGGCCAAGGGACCTGCTCTTCTCAGGGTGCCACCATATTGTCGTCTCCTCCTTGGTCTCCCTCCCTGCGGACTCCCTGTCCCATCTACCTTCCATGTGGCACCATTTTTGTAAAGATCGGCTCTCACCATGTCCTTCCCCTCTTAAGCCTTCCATGGCTCCTCACTGGCCTCAGAATAGAGGCCAAGCTCTTCGGCCTGGCATTTGAGCCTTTTCATGTGAGTTCCTCAGGCTCCCATGCATTCCATGCCACCTCACCCTCCACAGCAGCCATGTAAGACCTCCCGGCCTTTCCCAGCAGGTCACGCTTTCATCCACCAAGTCTTTGCTCATGCCTCTCCTGCCTTCAGAGCCCTCCTCCCTCTTTGCCCACCTGACAAACTCCTAATCATCTATCAGTTTCCAGCTCAGATGACCCCTCCTCTGCAGAAGTGCTCCCTGACCACCTCCCCCAGGCCAGGTAGGAGTTGCTGTGTGCTCCATAACCCCTGGGCTTGCCTTGTATGGTTTATTCACCCAAGTGGATTTGGTCCCTCCTGTGTCTTTTTCCCCAGCCTGACTGGGTATTCCTCAAAGGTCCTGCAGAGTGCGATCTGAGTCTGAGTTCCCGAGGTCCCTCTGAGGCCGGGTGCACCAGAGCATTGGCAAGTGTTTGCTGGGACTTTGTGGTTCCTGGGAATGTGATTTAAGATTTCTTACTCTGAATCCAGACTCCTGTGGCTCTGAGAATCTCAAAAGCAAAGGCTATCAGGAGCAACGAGTAATAGAATTGAAGAAACACTGAGCCCACACCCGGAACCAGAGCCTCTTGGAATTAGACTGTGAGAACCAGGGAACTCAGAATCCTGGAGGCACCTGGAGGGGCCATCTCAGAATCACAGGCTCATGTGGTTCCTGGTCGATGCTTTCATCCCCCTTTCCACCTTGGATTCTCCATCCACCTTCTTTCCTCCCAAGCTGGACCCTTCCTGCTCCTCCTCAAATCTTATCACAGTTCCCCTTCCAGGGACCTTGCCTGACTGCTCTGACCATGACCTCTGTCCCTCTGCTGGGGACACCTGGGAGGGCCTACCTACCGAGCAGTGTCGTGGGCTCCTGAATTTCAGTGTCTCCCTGTTGTGACAGGCAGACACAGCCTCCACATTAGGACAGTTCATGATTTGCTAGTGCCATGGTGCACCCATCTGTCCCCTTGTCTTATTCCTCATGGGCTGTCCCATGCAGCAGTGATTCTCCCCATCTGACCACTGAAGAACCCGAGGCTCTGAGAGGGGGGCTGACTTCACCAAGACTGCACAACACAGGTGGCTCCAAGTTAGAGCCTGAACTCAGGGTTCTTGCCTCTTGAATCTGGAGGCATTTGGCTGTGATAGGTTGGGGTGGTGTCCAGGATGTTGTGGTTCTGAGCCTGTTTAATCTAGCAGCATGTCTCTGTAGCCCTGTTCTGGGCTGTGCTGGGATCCAGGTGAGATGGGTGGTTTGGGGTCCTGCTCTGGGTTGGAGGTAAGGTGGTCAAACCCACACTGACAATAATTAGAACACCAGACCTTGAGTAAGTCCCTTCCTCTTTAGAGGTCTTGGCTTTCCGATCTGTAAGCCTGGCTGATCTGAGATTTACCCACTCAGATGCTGCTCTGAGCTCAGCCCTGGTGAGTGGCCTCCACAGCCAGGATCCTAGGGGGGTTCCCAAGAAGGAGAGAGCATCTGGGAGGGGGTAGAGAGCCCAAGGGCCGTGTGAAGGGGAGGTCTTACACCACAACGGCACCGGCTGATAGCATCTGAGGTTACCCCTTAGCCATTTCCTCAGACCAGCTTTGGTGCTCCCGGTGCAGAAGCAGGTCAGGCAAGGCAGGGGGTCTGCTGGCCTTCAGCCCCTTGGAGGACATTGAGGAGGGGCTAGGGTGACTTCTAAGCTCCTCAGCTTGTGCACTCCAGCCTTGCCCTCTCCACTCCCCTCAAGCCACCAAGATGAAGAGCAGTTCCTCAAACGTGTCATGTCATCTCTTGTTCATCCTCACTCTGCTCATCCTGTCTCTCCAACCACCTGACTCCTCATCTTCCAAAATGCAAGTCAGGTGCCCTCTCCTCCAGGAAGCCTTCCCTCATCACCCTTCCAATCCTGTTGGTAGCCTCCTTGGCTTCCTCCAGGCCTGATCACCTTGTGTTATCATCGCCTATTTCTGAGTGTGCCTCCCCTGATATTGACAGTGAATTCCTTGAGATCTGACCTACCTCAGAGTCCCCAGGTGCCCTGCCCAGCGATGGGCATAGATGTGACAACCTTTGTGAAGGGTGGGTGAGTGAAAGAGTATGGTGGCTATTTGGCTTCTGCTGGGGAATCCCTGGACTGCCTTCCCCCTGAGGACAGCCTTCAGTGTGGGAGACCTGATCTGTGGTTATTCTGGTTGTGACCTTCCTGCAGCCCATAATTCCTGCAAAGCTTCCTGCCCTTCTTGTCTTTCTGAGATACCCCCACCCTCCATGCCTTCTTTACCTGCTGAAATATTCTCTCTTACTATTTCATAAAATGAGCCTAAATCATCTAACCAGCTCAACAACCTTCTGAGGCAGGTACTGTTCTGATATTGAGAGGAAACTGAGTTCTGGGTTTTGGAGTTAAGAGACTTGTCTTACCACTGGGAAGAGCAGAACTGGGATTTCCCACCTGCCTAGTGCCCTCTCTTGCCCCCTTAATGAGGTTCTGGGACTAGGCCCTCTGTTTTCCCTCACAGCACCCCACCCCTGGTGGAGACAGGCAGCAGGGGTCTCCACAGAGGTGACAGGACATTCTCCTCTACCAGACTAGACAGGGTCTGCCACCAGCCAAGGAGGCACATTCCAGAGCCACTCTAGTGGAGGAGCTGGAATGTCATCCAACCACCCTGGAAATTCCACAGTGCCCTGGGAGCTACCCAGTTCCTCCTTCTGATTTTGGCCTCACTAGCCTAGAACCACAAAGAGAAAGACCCAGATTGGGTTAGGGGCAGGACCAGATCAGGGGGTTAGAGGTCTACACGCTAGGCTTGGCTCTGCCCTTGGCTCAGTGGTGACCTTGGGTGAGACCTTGAGCTACCCCTTTCTGGGCTTAGTTTTTCCTTTCTTTCTTTTTTTAAAACTATACTTTAAGTTCTAGGGTACATGTGCACAACACGCAGGTTTGTTACATATGTATACATGTGCCATGTTGGTGTGCTGCACCCATTAACTCGTCATTTACATTAGGTATATCTCCTAATGCTATCCCTCCCCCCTACCCCCACCCTATGACAGGCCCCGGTGTGTGGTGTTCCCCACCCTCTGTCCAAGTGTTCTCATTGTTCAGTTCACACCTATGAGTGAGAAAATGTGGTGTTTGGTTTTCTGTCCTTGCTATAGTTTGCTCAGAATGATGTTTTCCAGCTTCATCCATGTCCCTACAAAGGACATGAACTCTTCCTTTTTTATGGCTGCATAATATTCCATGGTGTATATGTGCCACATTTTCATAATCCAGTCTCTCATTGGTGGACATTTGGGTTGGGTCCAAGTCTTTGCTATTGTGAATAGTGCCACAATAAACATACGTGTGCATGTGTCTTTATAGCAGCATGATTTATAATCCTTTGGGTATATACCCAGTAATGGGATGGCTGGATCAAATGGTATTTCTAGTTCTAGATCCTTGAGGAATCGCCATACTGTCTTCCACAATGGTTGAACTAGTTTACAATCCCACCAACAGTGTAAAAGTGTTCCTATTTCTCAACATTCTCTCCAGCACCTGTTGTTTCCTGACTTTTTAATGATTGCCATTCTAACTGGTGTGAGATGGTATCTCATTGTGGTTTTGATATGCATTTCTCTGATGGCCAGTAATGATGAGCATTTTTTCATATGTCTGTTGCTGCATAAATGTCTTCTTTTGAGAAGTGTCTGTTCATATCCTTTGCCCACTTTTTGATGGGGTTGTTTGATTTTTTTCTTGTAAATTTGTTTAAGTTCTTGGTAGATTCTGGATATTTGTCAGATGGGTAGAATGTAAAAATTGTCAGATTTTTGTCAGATGGGTAGATTGCAAAAATTTTCTCCCACTCTGTAGGTTGCCTATTCACTCTAATGGTAGGTTCTTTTGCTGTGCAGAAGCTCTTTAGTTTAATTAGATCCCATTTCCCAATTTTGGCTTCTGTTGACGTTGCATTTGGTGTTTTAGACATGAAGTCCTTGCCTATGCCTATGTCCTGAATGGTATTGCCTACGTTTTCTTCTAGGGATTTTATGGTTTTAGGTCTGACATTTAAGTCTTTAATCCATCTTGAATTAATTTTTGTATAAAGTGTAAGGAAGGGATCCAGTTTCAGCTTTCTACATATGGCTAGCCAGTTTTACCAGTCCCATTTATTAAATAGGGAGTCCTTTCTCCATTTCTTGTTTTTGTCAGGTTTGTCAAAGATCACATGGTTGTAGATGTGTGGTATTATTTCTGAGGGCTCTATTCTGTTCTATTGGTCTATATCTCTGTTTTGGTACCAGTACCATGCTGTTTTGATTACTGTAGCCTTGTACTATAGTTTGAAGTCAGGTAGTGTGATGCCTCCAGCTTTGTTCTTTTGGCTTAGGATTGTCTTGGCAATGCAGGCTCTTTTTTGGTTCCATATGAACTTTAAAGTAGTTTTTTCCACTTCTGTGAAGAAAGTCATTGGTAGCTTGATGGGGATGGCATTGAATCTATAAATTACCTTGGGCAGTATGTCTGGCCTTAGTTTTTCTACCTGTGAGATGGATGCAATAACCACCATGACCTCCTCACACAAAGGAAGTACTGAAAAGTACTGAAAAGAGTAAATCCTGGGCCCTGCCACTCCTCTGGCAGAGAACTGAGCAGACAGGCAGAGAGCTGTGGGGCCAAAAAGGGATGGTCAGGCAGCTTCCTGGGAGAGGGCCTGGGCCTTGCAGGGTGGGAGGTAGTGGTCAGGGGCACAGCCTCTGAAGTCAGACAACCCAGAGTGGCTATGCCGTTTGCTAGCTTTGTGAGCTGTGAGGTTATTTAGCCTCTCTGAGTCTCTCAGGATTCAACGAGAAGAGGTATATGAAGTCACCTAACACAGAACTTGGCACAGGGACAGCACTAAACTCTTGTGGTGATATAGGTGTTAGATGATAAGGGAGGCTGTCTCTGAGCAACAATATGACCATGGGACTGCTTTTGTTGTGCCTGAGACAGGAATATGAGGGCAAGGGCAGAGAGGATGGGTTTTCTGGAGCGATAGCAGGGACCAGATCAGCCAGGGCCTGAGTGCCAGGTTGAGGAGCTGGGACAGTCGCCTGAGGGCACTAGGGAGCCACGAACATGACTCAACAATATGTGGTTGGATTTGTGTTTTAGGAAACCACATGACCGCAGTGTGAAAGGTGGACAGACAGGGCAGGGGTGGAGGCACGGAGGCCAGTGAGGAGGCTGGTGCTGTGGACTGCGGAAAACAGGCCTCAGGCTGCAGTGTGGGGACCATGTGGTGCATGTCCGAGGAATTTCACTGGTTGAACTAACAGGACTTGGTGAGTGGTGGGCTTCTAGCAGGGTGGAGAAGAGGGAGGTTTCCCAGGCTGTATCAGAGATTTGAAACCTGGAAAGATAGTGGGGGCCCTTCTCAGAAATGAGAACCACTTGGAGAAAGTGATATTCTCCACTTTAGCCTGTTGAGTCAAGGCATTTTCTAAGGAGGAGGAGACAGGGCGTGCACCTGGGTGCAGCAGGGTGAAAAGGTTGACGTTCCCTCACCTTGTCATAGTCTCTAGAGTAGATCAGCGGGGAGCTACCAGCCCACCGGCCTTGTCAGTCTGAGACCACCAGGCAAGGTGCACTCAGTAAGCAGTGGCCCAGAGGCACTTCCCATGAACACCCCTGCCCTATCCCCAAGGTATTCTTGCAGTGCCCCCATCTCCTCTCCCACATCCCCACACCCTTGTACTGCACTTCCAGCTTGGGGACCTGGGCTCAGCTGTCACAGGCCCACTCCTCCATCCTAGGGAAATGAAGATGGAAAAAGAAAAACTCAGGAGTTGCATGTTCTATTTCTCCTTTGAGGTATCTGAGGTGCTGGTGGAGGGTGAGACCTGCCCACACAGAGGGTCCCCTCCACCAGGCAACTGTCCCCTCCCTGAAACCCTGTGCTTGGTGTGCACAAGGGGCTCCAAGGTGAGATAAAAACCACAGCCAGAATTCGGGAGGGCTGGGCTCTAGTCTTGGTTCTGTCCCTGACTTACTGTGAGGCTTGAGCCTGTTTCCTCCTCTGTGAAAGAGGGTTTCGCACAGGAGATTTCATACACACACACACACACACACACACACATACACTTTAAGTTCTGGGTTACATGTTTAGAACGTGCAGTTTTGTTATATAGGTATACACATGCCCTGGTGGTTTGCTGTACCCATCAACCTGTCACCTACATGACGTATTTCTCCTAATGTTACCCCTCCCCTAGCCCTGCAACCCCAACAGGCCCCGGTGTCCATGTGTTCTCATTGTTCAACTCCCACTTATAGGTGAGAACATGCAGTGTTTAGTTTTCTGATCTTGTGATAGTTTGCTGAGAATTATGGTTTCCAGCTTCATCCATGTCCCTGCAAAGGACATGAACTCATCCTTTTTTATGGCTGCATAGTATTCCATGGTGTATATGTGGCACAGGAGATTTCTAAATGCAGTTTTAGGCCCTGATGGTCTAGACTCTGTGTGTGTGTGTGTGTGTGTGTGTGTGTGTGTGTGTGTGTGTGTGCATCCGTATGTGTCCGCTGCATGTACACCTGAGTGTGACTCTGCATGCCTTTGTGTATCTATGTGTCTTGGTGTGTCTGTGCCAGTGTGTGTTCAGGTGTGGCATATGTGTGTTTATAACACCTACGGAGGAATGCTTAGAGGTAGGAGTGGGGAGGAAGGGGGTTTCTAGAAAGACGTAACTTAGGCAAAAGTGTGTTGGCAGAAGGACAATACAATGCACCCTGGGCAAAGAGGGTATTGACTTTTCCTACTATGGGGCCAAAGCACAGAACCAGGACCAAGGGAAGGGACACTGAAGGCTTGGAGGCTTGGCTCAGCTGTACGGGACATGGGGGAGACTTTCCTCCAGGCAGGGCCACCACTCTGTGAAAGGCAGCCTGGGGAAAGGGGCTGTGAATAACCCATTCCTGGAACACATGAGCTGCAGTTTGGGTGTACAGAGGGCACTCAGACCAGGACAAACACCAGGCCACCTCTCTGTCTCCTTCTGGTTACGGTTACCACAGAGGAGGTGGCCCTGGGGGGAATTGGCCTGGCTGGGTTTCCATGACCCTGAGACCATGCTTTCTCTACCTCCCTCTGTCTGCAGGAGCCCCTTGTGGCAACAGCACTGCCTGCCCAGAAAAATGCTGGAGGCTAGGCGTGGCCCCAGGCCTGGGGACCTGTTTTTCCTGTTTCCCACAGAGTTCCCTGCAGCCCAGTCCAGGCGTGTGCATTCATGAGTGAGGAACCCGAGCTGGCACTGAGCATCCTGACCTGGAGAGTGGGGGCTGGTCAGGTACGTGTGTGGGGGGCGGGGGGCGGGTGCGCTGGCTGGGAGGTGAGGGCGGGTGCATGTGCTGTTGTGCCTGTGTCTGCCCTGAACTGGCTTAGATCAAGGGGATCCAAAGGCAGGTGCCCTGCTCTGCTCCCTCATCCCAGGCTGTGATGAATTCAGGCTTTGAAGTCAGATAGCTTTGGGTGTCAAGTCTAATTTTTCCAATGCCTGGCAGTGTGACCTTGTACAAATAGCTTAACCTCTATGGCAATATCTACCAAGGGGTGGGGATGGGGGATGACGATGCTGTGTGAAAGCTGCTCAGCCCAGGTCTGGCCCCTACAAAGCAGGGTGGGTGGAGAATCCTAATCAGACTGACCCAGGTTCTGAGCCAGATAAAAACCTGTGGCAGGTCTCAGACAGCCAACCCATCTCCAGTGCGCCCATGTGCAGTCCCCTCCCGCTGGCACTTCCCTGACCTGTCCAGAGAAAGGCAGAGTCTCCCGGGCTCCTGTGGCGGTTGAAGGAGAGACAGTCTAGGGACATAAGCAGGTTCCAGGTGGGCCAGGACCCCTAGAGGGGCTGGGCTGTCCCCTGGTTACTTAGGGTCAGCAGCTAAGAAACCTTTAAGCATTCTTGTCCTTGAGAGGCCCTCAGAGAAGCAAGTAATTTGTAAGTAATTTGATCCAGGTTACACCGCTGGAGATGGGCTGCAAATCCTATTCAGGTACATCCCACAGTGGAAGTGGCTGAAGGAGGGAGGTAGTGAACTCCCTGTTTATGGGAGTGTGCAGAAGCTGCAGAGGGCTTGTGCCTGTGTGTGCCTCCTCTGGGCCCCCATAGCCTCTTGTGCTTGATTCATTCATTCATTCATTCATTCATTCATTCATTCTCTCATTCCTGTAATCCTCCTGTGGTCGGGCCTCCTGCTGGATGATAGGGACAGAGAAAAGCATCAGATGGACCCAGCCTTCAAAGAGCACCTGAAATGTGTTGGGGTACAGGATGGAAGGACAAATTACCAACTGGCTGAGAAACATCCTAAGGGGTGATGGAAGGGAGAGCTTCAGAGATTAGAAGATCCTTTGGGACGTACGATGGAGTGCAGTGTGGGTGGGTTCAGGGAAGGCTTTCCAGTGAGAAAGAACAGAATGAACACAGGCAGGGGAGCCTGGAAGGGTCCTTAAAGGCTCACATCTCCCCTCCAGACTGGGAGTTCCTTGGGGCAGGGCCAGCCAGACTGGGGCGCAACAGGGCTGGTGCGCATTGGATAGTCAGGTGGAGCCTGGGGCTCCCAGGGGAATCCGTCCCAGGGGCATCAGGATCAGGAGAGGCAGAAGGGAGACTTAAGGGAGGGGGCTGGGAAGTTGGCTGTCCCTCTAAGGCAGGGCTAGGAAAGATGTACTCACAGGTTAGTGAGCCAGCCTATAGAACGAGAGGGTGGGCGGGGTGAGTCTGGCCCAGGGCCATGGTGATGGAGTCCCCAGCTGGCTTGGGAGGGTGGGGGCCAGGATGTCTTAAAACAGGTGGAAGGGGCAGCTCCCTTAGTTCAAGGGAGACAGGGAAGTCTCCACCCGTCATTTCAGTGTCAGAGATTCCACCGTTACGGATTAGCAGGAAACTCTTCATGCAGGGTGATGAGATGTTTATGTTGACTGTGGAGGGAGGTCAGGCCTCATCTCTGAGGCAGGAACAGAGCAATGGAGTGAAGGCAAGACTGGGCATGTGTGTCTAGATCATGGAGGAAGCCCCCTCCCTGTCCAAGTGGGGCAGAGGACCTCCCAGGGACATTTTGGGGCTGCAGTTGTCAAGGCTAGGGGATTTGACTAGTGTCTGATACTTGGGAAGGAAGGAAGGAATGAAATGCTTGATGTCACCTGATGTTTTGTGGCAGAGCTAGACTCGAACCTCGGCTTACTGATACCCAGGTGGGGCTCTGTCCTGGGAGGGAATGTGGCTCCTCCATAGCTCCTCAGTCTCACACAGGGGCCTCTCCTTGCTTGTCCTGCAGCTTCTGTGAGTCAGTGACTCTCAGCTGGCCTTCCAAAGCTCCAGACCTGATGGACCCAGGCTGTGCCCATCCCCACACTTGCCATGGTTGACACTGAATTCCTCTTCCCCACCATTCCTCCATCAGGGAACAGTCTCCAGAGCCTCCCTCGCAAACATCTCTCCCCTTGCAGGGCCCCTCCCCTCACAGGGCCCAAGGCCTTCCCCTTCTTGGGTCTCAGTGTCACTTCCCTGGCCCACCACACTCACCTCTACAGCCTCCAGTCAGGACCTCCAGTCCCACCTCCACTGTGGCCAAAGGTTTCTGGAAAAGGCCACCACTAGCTGAACCTTGGCACTCATAACACCACCGTGTGCCTACTATGTGCCAGGCTCTATTCCAGGCATTTTACACAAATGACTCGACCTTCACAGCAGTCCTGTGGTGGAGATTCTAGTAACTGTCCCATTTTACAGCTGAGAAAGCAGAAGCAGTCTGGCTCCAGCGCCCAGGTTCTTAATCACTGTGTTCTCTGCACTGAGGGATAAAGAGCCGTGAGTTCAACAGGTGGAGATGAGGGCCACGAATGAATTCCAGGTAGAAGGAGCAGCAGCAACTAAGGCTGGGAGGGGAGAGTGTTAGGCACATCCAGGAAACTGCAGGTCACAGGGGTTGGGGTGGGTGAGGTTGGCAGAGGCTCAGTTATGAAAACCTCAGGTACCAGACTTGAGGTCTGGGCTTTCTCCTGAGAGAGGGTAGGAGCAGCAGGAGGATTCCAAACAGAGGAATGCTTTATTTGACAAAGGCCACTCTGGATTTTGGTGGGTGGGTGGGTGGGACTGGGGCTGGAGGAGGGAGGCCAGTGCAGTGGTTCCAGCAACAAGAGGTAGAGCCTGGAACTAAGCTGGCAGCAGGAACTGTCCTGACCCTGGGTAAGATGGGTCTCAGCCACTTGACCTGCCAGAGCCCCAGCCTCTACCTGTCTCTTCTTAACTTGGTACCACATAAGCTTCTCCTGGCCTCATCGCCCTGGTTTTGTGCTGGCTCCTGGGGAGCCATCCGTGTCCATGGCAGGGGGAACAAGGGTGCAGGCCCACTTGCTTCTGAGTGCACATTTGCTGACAACAGGAGACAGAGAAGATCTGGGAGTCTTGGTGGAAGAAGGGAAACTGGCTGGGCACCGTGGCCCACACCTGTAATCCCAGTACTTTGGGAGGCTGAGGTGGGTGGATCACTTGAGGTCAGGAGTTCGAGACCAGCCTGGGCAACATGGTGAAACCCCATCTCCACTAAAAAATACAAAAACATTAGCTAGGCATGGTGGCACACACCTGTAATCCCAGCTACTTGGGAGGCTGAGACATGAGAATTGCTTGAACCCAGGAGACAGAGGTTGCAGGAAGCTGAGATCATGCCACTGCATTCTAGCCTGGGCAATGGAGTGAAAATCTGTCTCAAAAAGAAAAAAACAAAAGAAAGAAAAAAAGAAGGGAAATTGAAGGATCTCTACACCCCCAGCACCCCTAATCTCAACCTCCTGGGCCTTGAACTGCCTCTGGGAAGCCAGGGCTGGAAAAGCAGCTCAGGGTCTATGGGAGTGGATGTTGCAGGCCCTGCAGAGTCCCCCAGTCCCTCAGGACTCCAGGATCTAAAATGAAGGGAATTAGTACGGGCACGATGGCTCACACCTGTAATCCCAGCACTTTGAGAGACCAAGGCGGGAAGATCACTTGAGGTCAGGAGTTCGAGAGCAGCCTGGCCAACATGATAAAACCCCATCTCTACTAAAAATACAAAAATTAGCCAGGCGTGGTAGCACGTGCCTGTAACTCCAGCTACTCGGGAGGCTGAGACAGGAGAATCGCTTGAACTTGGGCGGCAGAGGTTGCAGTGAGCCGAGATCAGGCCATTGTACTCCAGCCTTGGTGAAAAAGGGGGACTCCATCTAAAAATTAAAAATTAAAAATAAATAAATAAAATAAAAATGAAGGGAATTATATGGCCCCAGATTCTCAGGATGAAGAGGACTCCACATCTCATCTGCCCTTTCCATCCTCCCAGACATACCCCGACACAGGCACAAGCCCTTCTGCGTCCTCTGCTAGAGAGTCACTTGCATACTCCCATAAACAGGGAGTTCACTACCACCATCCCACAGCCACTTCCAGGGACTGGACCTGGACAGGAATTGCAACCCATCCCCAGTGGCATGACCTTGACCAAATAACTTACATGATCTGTGTCTTAGCTTCGTGATTGGAGAACTGGGGATGGTGACTTGGCCCCCAGAACACATCGTAAGGATAAAGTGAAGTCACTTTTTTTTTTTTTCTGAGACAGAGTCTTGCTGTGTCGCCCAGGCTGGAGTACAGTGGGGTGATTCTGGCTCGCTGCAACCTCCGCTTCTTGGGCCCAGGTGATCCACCCACCTCAGCCTCCCGAGTAGCTGGGACTACAGGCGCCTGCCACCACACCTGGCTAATTTTGTGTGTGTATATTTTTAGTAGAGACAGGGTTTCTCCAAGGTGGCCAGGCTGGTCTTGAACTCCTGGCTTCAAGTGATCCGCCCGCCTCAGCCTCCCAAAGTGCTGGGATTACAGGTGTGAGCCACCACGCCTGGCCTAAGTGAATAACTTTTATAAAGCAGGCTTAGTAGTAGGGTTTGAAAAATGTTAGCTCCTCCTTCCCCTTCACACTGCTAGAAAGTGCTTCTTTGTGTTTTTCTCGTACTTGCCCACCCAGGACTCCTGCTATGATTTCCAACCTGCCTCCTGGGATGTTAGGCACGTCTTTGTCTTCCAGGCCAGGATGTCTGTCCCCTACCTCCCAGCTGCGAGAGAACTCTTAACTGGTCACCTGGGTAGGGGTGAGGAGGAGAGGGAGGGGACAAGCTGCTCCCTAGGCACTCACTGTCTGTTGGATGGTCAGTCCCCATGGGTGTGTTATATGCTCAGTGGGGACAAGGTTGGGGGGGATACTGATGGTATGCAGAGAGAAACTGGATAGGCATAGAAGAAGCTGCATTTACCACACAGAAGACGACCCGTTGGCCCCCTATCCCCATCTTCACCCCAGATTTCCCTAGACTCTTCGGAGTGGGGGTTACTTCAGGGGGATTCCCTGGTAGCCTCACAGGCTCAGGGGCTGTTGATAGATATAGAAATTGCCAGAATAGAGGAAGATGAAAAAGTGAAGGAATAACTGAAGAGGGAGATCTTTGGAAATACTTGCTCAAATACCAGAACACTAGGCGTGCACCCAGAGCCTCCCACAGAGTGGGAGAACTAGCTGGGGAGAACTCTGTAATGCCTGCAGGGGGCTGTTGGATGCCCACCGGCCATAAATGCCTCTGCAGGCATCAGGGGGGTCAGCCAGCCTCAAAGGCCCCTTCCCATGAACTCAAAATTGCCTGCTCTGGCACCCCCAGATCCTCAGATTCTAGGGCTCAGAATCCTACATCTAAAACTCTGATCCTGAGGTTCTAGAGAGGGGTAAGAAAACTATCCACCACCTCCCCCCCCGCCCTCCCCTCTCCCAGAGATGGGATCTTGCTATATCACCCAGGCTGGAGTGCAGTGGTGTGGCCACATCTCACTGCAGCCTCAACCTCCTGGGCTCCAATGATCCTCCCACCTCAGCCTGCCAAGTAGCTGGGACTACAGGTGAGTGCCAGCACGCCTGGCTAATTTTTAAAACAAATTTTGTAGAGATGGGGTCTCACTTTGTTGCCTAGGCTGGGCTTAAGCACCTGGTTTCTGCCTTGGCCTCCCAAGTAGCTAGGATTATAGGCATGAGCCACTGCACCCAGCTTGAGCTAAATTTTTTTGAAGGTCAGATAGTGAATATTTTAGACTTCACAGGCCATATGCTCTTTATCACAACTACTCAACTCTTTGTAAACAGACGGGTACAGTTTTGTTCCAATAAAGCTGAATTTACAAAAGCAGACTGGATCTGGCTTTTGTACTATAGTTCGTCTACCCCTGTTCTCAAGTTTGACAATTGTGTGATCCTGATATTCATGGATCTCATGCATTCTCAAGGTTCCAAAGCTTGGAGGTTCCAGATCCAGATCCAAGTCAGATGGCAACGAAGCCCTGGTCAGGTGGCTGTGTCAGGTCCCCTAGGGGCGCTCCAGCCACAACCCTGATGGCCTCACCCCTCCCTTCCCTGCAGGGCGATGGCGGCAGACCTGGGCCCCTGGAATGGCACCATCAATGGCACCTGGGATGGGGATGAGCTGGGCTACAGGTGCCGCTTCAACGAGGACTTCAAGTACGTGCTGCTGCCTGTGTCCTACGGCGTGGTGTGTGTGCTTGGGCTGTGTCTGAACGCCGTGGCGCTCTACATCTTCTTGTGCCGCCTCAAGACCTGGAATGCGTCCACCACATACATGTTCCACCTGGCTGTGTCTGATGCACTGTATGCGGCCTCCCTGCCGCTGCTGGTCTATTACTACGCCCGCGGCGACCACTGGCCCTTTAGCACCGTGCTCTGCAAGCTGGTGCGCTTCCTCTTCTACACCAATCTTTACTGCAGCATCCTCTTCCTCACCTGCATCAGCGTGCACCGGTGTCTGGGCGTCTTACGCCCTCTGCGCTCCCTGCGCTGGGGCCAGGCCCGCTACGCTCGCCGGGTGGCCGGGGCCGTGTGGGTGTTGGTGCTGGCCTGCCAGGCCCCTGTGCTCTACTTTGTCACCACCAGCGCACGTGGGGGCCGCGTGACCTGCCACGACACCTCGGCGCCCGATCTCTTCAGCCGCTTCGTGGCCTACAGCTCAGTCATGCTGGGCCTGCTCTTCGCGGTACCCTTTGCCATCATCCTTGTCTGTTACATGCTCATGGCTCAGCGGCTGCTAAAGCCGGCCTACGGGACCTCGGGCGGCCTGCCTAGGGCCAAGCGCAAGTCCGTGCGCACCATCGCCATAGTGCTGGCGGTCTTCGCCCTCTGCTTCCTGCCCTTCCATGTCACCCGCACCCTCTACTACTCCTTCCGCTCGCTGGACCTCAGCTGCCACACCCTCAACGCCATCAACATGGCCTACAAGATCACCCGGCCGCTGGCCAGTGCTAACAGTTGCCTTGACCCGGTGCTCTACTTCCTCGCTGGGCAGAGGCTCGTACGCTTTGCCCGAGATGCCAAGCCACCCACTGACCCCAGCCCTGCCACCCCGGCTCGCCGCAGGCTGGGCCTGCGCAGATCCGACAGAACTGACATGCAGAGGATAGAAGATGTGTTGGGCAGCAGTGAGGACTCTAGGCGGACAGAGTCCACACCGGCTGGTAGCGAGAACACTAAAGACATTAGGCTGTAGGAGCAGAACACTTCAGCCTGCGCAGGTTTATATTGGGAAGCTGCAGGGACCAGGGCTTGTGCAGATTGTACGGTCTCCCCAGATATGGACCATCAGTGACTCATGCTGGATGACCAAGGAAGCCATGACCCCATGCTCCGTCATTTGACAGGGGCTCAGGATATTCGCTCTGTGGTCCAGAGTCAACTGTTCCCATAACCCCTAGTCACCGTTTGTGTGTATGAATTGGGGGAATTAAGTTTCAAGAAAGGCGAGAGTTAAGGTCAATGACACCCCTGGCCTGACTCTCACGCAAGTAGCTGGCTGTACTGCCAAGGTACCTAGGTTGGAGTCTAGCCTAATCAAGTCAAATGGAGAAACAGGCCCAGAGAGGAAAGTGGCTTACCAAGGTCACATACCAGAGTCTGTAGCTGAGCTACCTGGGGTGGCGGCCAAGTCACAGGTTGGCCAGAAAACCCTGGTAAGTAATGAGGGCTGAGTTTGCACAGTGGTCTGGAATGGACTGGGTGCCACAGTGGACTCAGCTCTAAGGAGTACCCCCAGCCCAAGAGATGAACATCTGGGGACTAATGTCATAGACCCATCTGGAGGCTCCCATGGGCTAGGAGCCAGTGTGAGGCTGTAACTTATACTAAAGGTTGTGTTGCCTGCTGAGCTGTGCCTTATTGTGTGCTTGGGGGATGAGGATATGGTGGGGAAGCTTTCACCAGCCACACAAGGGTCCTTTCTCCAACCCATTCCCTTCTGCCACCTACCTTCTCACTAGCTGTCTCAGGAGTAGTCTCCTTTCAGGGATCCTCTCTCTAGACCCCAGATCCTCTCTCTAGACCCCACTTTAAAGCCAGTTGGCTTCTGTGCCTGACTGTGTGCTGAGCACAGAGAGAAGTCAGGTGCAGTCCCAGTCTTTGAGATTTCCCAGTTTAGGTGATGGCCAGTCATGTGCTGGTAAATGTTAAACCATTTAACTGGAGCTCTGATTTAACTGGGAACCCCTTCTTTGTAGAACTGCCCAGTTTCATGATGCAAAAACTCTTATGGCCGAATTCAAACTATAAACATGATGTCTGCTTCCTTGTAAAATTCCTGAAAATTTAACAATTGGTTCTTGGAAGCAGGTACAAGTCACTCTAGCACACCACAGGATAATGCCAAGTGGATGGGGCTGTGAGCCAGGGGGTCAGGGAAGGGTTCCTGGAGTAGGAGACTCCTGAGTTGTAGCTTCTGAGAAAAGCATCTCACCAGAAGAAAATCCACATGCAGGATGCATCCCAGGCAAAGACATGGGGCAAGAGGGCAGGGTGTGCAGGAGCCATAAGCAGGCTGGACAGCTGGGTCCAGGCTCAAGGTAGGGTTGGGGCTGGGTCACAAGGAGGCCAAGTTAGGGCTCCCTCCTTGCCCTGACCCTAAGGCTTCCTTTGCATTGTGGATAAATATGAAAGAGACTCACTCCTCCTCCTGTCCATCCTCTGCCTTCTGGGAAAATCCCAGAATGGCAGGGTGTTGCTCAGGCTGGGTCAGGACTTAGCATGGGGGAGATGGGTTTCACCTATGATAGGTTCTGGGTCTAGCCAGGACCACTCGGGGCTGATGTGTGGAGCTCAGCTGGACAGGGCCCTGCCCTAGCCTTTGGAAGGGGACACGGCAAAGCTGACAGGCCTCATTCTTGATCTCAAGGACAGGGACTCACTCCTCTCCCTCTGGGAGAGCCCTCGCTCTATGGGCCCACTCTGCCTGCCTCCTCTGACCTCTCCACCTTTCCCACTCTGCCTTGTGAAAGGTAGGGCATCTCCAAAGCTTGCTGTATTTGGAGTTTGACTCCACAGCGCCCTCATGTGACAGAGACCCATCACAGACCATGACCCAAATGATTGCACTGTGCCATGTGGGTGACCTGCCCAGAATAGTGTGAGCTATTCACCTCTCACATTCTAGGTTCTATACTTCTGTTAATGTAGCCGATGTCCTTCCGAGCTTTTTTTTTTTTTTTCTTTTTGAGACAAAGTCTTGTTCTGTCACCCAGGCTGGAAGTGCAGTGGCGCAGTCTTGGCTCACTGCAACTCTCTGCCTCCCGGGTTCAAGCAATTCTCCTGCCTCAGCTTCCCAAGTAGCTGGGATTACAGGTATGCGCCACCACACCCGGCTAATTTTTGTATTTTTAATAGAGACAGGGTTTCGCCATGTTGGCCAGGCTGGCCTCAAACTCCTGACTTCAAGTGATCCACCTGCTTCAGCCTCCCAAAGTGCTGGGATTACAGGTATGAACCATCGCACCCGGCCCCTCTTGAGCTTTCTTAGTGATTGCCTGTTACAAACCACCCTTCAGCCTTTCCTGCAGGCCTGAGCCACTCCATAAGGACACAGGAGGGGCTTATTCACCATCTAATCCTGTGGCAGGCACAGGTCGGGGTGGATACTGGAGACCCTGGGCGAACCAGGGACAGGCCCAGAGCCCCACCTCTGGAACCCAGTTGAACTGCATGGCCCCTTGGTATGCACATCCTACCTTGCTGCTCAGGGCCCAGGCCACTCGCCTTGTGGGTGAGGTTCCTGCCCTGATGCCTCATGCTATTTTCAGCCCAAGTAAGACCATAATTTTCCACTCCTGGCCCCAGACCATTGTCCAGCAGTGACGTGGGGGAACCTGCCTGCCCTCAAAATATCTCCTATTACCCTCCAGTACTCCCTGCCCCCTTCACACCTCCCTAACCTGACATCACTTCCTGGGCTGTTGACTCATGAAGGCCACTGTGAAAGGGCACGTGCCCAGCTCTTCCTGCCCAGGGTGACTGGGGTGGAGCCATAGAGCTGAGGCCAGGGACAGGGCAGGGATGGGAGGAAGGGGAGGGTAGAGAGTTGAGTGTCAGGGAGTAAACATCTGCTGATGTGCCTGCAGCAGCTGTTCTCAATGAACTGCATGACATCAGGGCAGGGTCCCTGGCACACAGTGGTCTCTGCCCTGGGTGACAGGTGTTCCAGGGCCCGGGAGGGATGGGGGAACCCCAGGTGATATCCCCACTTTCACACCCTGAGGTTAGAAGAGGCCCTAAACAGCATGTTATCCACACACGGTTACTCCAGGTCAAGCCACCAAAGCTACCTCTCTGCCACCCTTGTCATGGCAGATTTGGGCTGCTCTGTTTAGAATCAGGCACATGGGGGAGGGAAGTCGTGTATTGACCCATGTCCCACGCACCCTGCAGGACCCTCTCATCTCTGTTATATGGTGGATGCTTCACAGAAACCCTGTGAAGTAGATGTTATGATCCCATTTAGCAGATGAGGAAACAGAAGGGTGTGAGAAGTGAGGACTTGCTCCAGGTTAACCAGGCCATCAGAGTGAGTCAGAGTGAGTCCAGGGTCACCCGATGGCCAGAATCATGCCCTTTCTAGTGCCCCACGATGCTCACAACCCCGCAGGGCAGAAGGTTCTCTAAGTGGCCCCTCGCATGATTCAAGATGACAGAGGCGGTGTAGCAAGGATGTCAGAACACAGATGCTCCACCCAGACCACCTCAGTGTCAATATTGTCCCCACTTTCCTTGCTGGGGTCTCTTGGGCAAGTTACCTAATCTTGCAGTACCTGTTTTCCCATTTCTAAGTGAGATGCCACCTTCCACGCAGGGCACTGTGGGGCTTCCCCACGTTATTATGCACAAAGTCCTCCTCACAGTGCCCGGTGTGTGCTCAGCATTTATATGCCTGGCACCAGGCCAGGAGGCTACGGAGGCAAACCAGCTGGGCCCTGCCCTCATGGAGTTGACATCACTTAGTACGTAACCACACTGGGATACATGTTTTGAAGGAAAGGACAGTGTGCCTGGCCAGTGAGCAGTAGTGGGCCATACGTCTCCAGGGACCCCCTCCGTGGGATGTGGGAGGAGGGAAGCAGGTCTGTCCTGGGGGAATGTGTGGGGCCACCTCTGCCCTGCCTGGCAGTGGGTGGATTTCAGGACCATGGGCCTGTGCTGTTTACAGAACCTTGTCCAGGTACCCAGCTGTGGGAGGGTAGCATGGAGAGGAGGAAGAAGGCCCCCCTAATAGCAAGCTTCAGGACCTTGCCACTTCAGGTTAGAGAGCTCCTACCCTCCCACGGCAGCAGGGTGGCCATTTCTCCCTGACTGGGGTATGCACCATGGTGCTCTGCAGCCACCCCTCACTTCACTAAGAGTCCAGAGATCTAGGAGCAGAGGACTGGTCTGGAGCTGGGCAAGGGCAGGCAGTAAATGGTGAGTTTTTGCTGTGTGACCTGAGGCCACTTGCCTGCCTTCTTTGGACTGCGCTCTGGGGCCTGGAGACCTGTTCCCCTGTTCCAGTTTCCCCACCTCAGTGAAGGCACAACCAACAGCTACCTCCCAGGCATTTCCAAGACCCTCCAGGCCCCCGGTTCTGAGGACTAGGGTGGAGGCAGTGTTTCTCCCCAGCATCAAGTGACCAGAGAAGTGAAGTGACCCCGCTGCCGCCACACAGTGCCATGTCTGGGGCTCCTGCCTCCTGCAAGGTGGAGGGTGAGGCTTGGCCAGGAGTGACCAGGGTGAGGGGTGTGCTTGTGGGGGTGAAGGGTTGGGGTGAGAACTGAGCCCGAGTCAAACTCATCCTCCTCTGCCCTAATACACTGTGCAACTTCAGAGAGTCACTGCCCCTCTCTGGGCCTCACTTTCCCCATCTTCGATAGGACTTGGCTCTGCCTGGCCACTCCTCCTCCAATGGGGGAATTCCTGGGCTTGCCTCTGTGTTGGCTCCAGCTCAGGTGTCAGTCTCAGCCCTGTCCCAGCCAGAAACAATGGGCCAGGCAGGGCCAGTTACCCCCTGTCCTTGGGGGCTCCACCCATAGCCATGGACTATTTTCAGCCCTTGCAGATGGAGTCAGAAAAGGATTTTCCACTCCCAGCACAATGACTGCCCTGGACAATTGTCCAGCAGTGACGTGGGGGACCCGCCTGCCCCAAAATATCTCCTGCCCCTGATTTCCAAGCCTCTCTGCCCTGCTCCTCACCTCCTGGCCCTGCTCCTTACCTCCCCACCCTGATGTCATTTCCTGGGGCTGTTAACTCCTGAAGGCCATTGTGAAACATCTCATGAGACTCCTGGGAGACACAACCAGTTGGAATCAGTTTTCCCTCCTGGCAGAGACCCTAGGGATTGTTTGGCTGCTTAGTGGGACTGGTGGCCTAGAGAGGGCTGTGCCTTACGCAGTCACACAGCAGTCAGTGTGCAGCGTAGACATAAGCCCAGGGCTCTTTGACTGCTCCCGCTGCCTCAGCCAAATTCATTAGCTCCAGTCTGTGCCTCCTGGAACTGAGAGCTCGCCACTGAGCTTCCTGGGATGGGCACCTGGGGCCCGAATAGTGTGGGTGGAGAGGTGCAGCTCAGGTTTTGACCTTAGAGTAAGCCCAGTACATGGGCCTGACCTTAAAACCTTTCTCCCCATTGAGTTCCATTTTTACCAAATGTGACTGTTAGAAACTGAATGTTTGTGTCCCCTACCCCGCAAATCCATATGTTGAAATCCCAACTGCCAAGGTGATGGTATTGGAAGGTGGGGCCTTTGGGAGGTAACCAGGTCCTAAGGGTGCAGCCCTCCTGAATGGGTTTAGTGCCCTTACAGAAGGGACCCCAGAGAGCTCCTCACCCTCTTTCCACCATGTGAGGATATA